AAAAACAAAATATTGTGTTAAATGGCATTTAGGAAAATTAGATAAGAATTCCATGCGGAAGTAAAAGCTTCAACGTTGTTATTTATCATTGCAGTCTCTTTTTCAATGTTGTAACAATATGTTATATATTTTTAAGCTCCTACAACTGAGGGAATACTCTTTCGCATTTTACATTGATAAATATACATCTTAAAGACGTTTTCGGGAGTTTTCATATAGACATATAGGCAAAATTCAAACTGTTCAATAGAATTTAATTTTTTCAATTTTTTTCTCACTTAAAATGTTTCTGTTATCATAATTATTCTAACAACATGCCAAGTTTAAAGAAATTCTATTGAACAGTTTTAATTTTGCCTATATGTCTATAAGAAAACTCCCGAAAACGTTCTTAAAGTAAATAAAATTAGATTTTTAGTTTTTGATATGTAAAGCCAAAAATCATTTCATCTGCAGTTATTTTTAGGATGGAAAAATATTATTTTTTGTTTTGAAATAGGTATCAATGATGTCCTTTACAAAACTACATTTCCAAACCAAATGTTCGATAGTTTCATTTTCATTTTAACAAAAGGTACACAGAGGATTGTCATTAAACTTAATTTTATGTAAATAATAATTGGTGCCAATTATTCTATGAAGAATCCTTATTTGAAACCACTGTATCCTAGACTCTTTTGTTATTTTAAATGGCATTTCGTATATTTCTTTCCATTTGCTTCTTCAAAATGTAGATCAAACTTTTGCATCCAGTTGGTTGTGTGTTATTAGTATTCAATAAATTGTAAGTCTGTTTTGATCCCTCATTGTTTATAATTATGTTTTTTAAATAAGGAGGCAATTTTGGTCCACAAGTATTTTTTACATCATTCATACTAAAATTAAATTTTGTCATCATTTCATTTATCATTTTTTTAATTCCATGAAAGATTAAAAAGTTTGCATTAAGCCCAAATATGTTATTAAAATATTCTAATGAAAGAAAAGCACCGTAAGAATCAAACATATCTCCGATATAATATACACCGGCTTTAAACCATGAATTAAGAACTATACTTTTATTGCCAATTAGTAATTTATTGTTATAAAACAATGGTAGTTATGCGAAGGATTCGTTATTTATAGGATACATATCTATATATAAAGCATCAAAAGTGTCTTTCCAAAACCATTCGAAGTGCTTTTTGCAATTTTATCTATGTAATGTTTTCCACAGTGAAACAATTTTTGCATATCAAATTCATTTACAATAATGTTTTCCCAACAGGCATCGCTAATCATTCTTTTGAACCAGTTTATCTTTAATGCCATTATAAAAGCATTTAAATTTAACATTTTTAAAACTCCTCTGAAAAGTGCCTTGACCTTAACAGTATTTTGAAAAAGGCAACATATAGGGGTTACTTTTGTCGGCGGTGTCGGGGTGACTTATAATGACCCGAAGTGCAGTGCACAAGAACCGGTACTTTGCACTTCTTAATTTTTGAGTTATTGCCCTTTGTTAATTTTCATACTTTATTTTTGTCCAGGCCATATATTTCTCCTAAAGTATAAAAGCTATGGACTTGACACTTCATAGGATGATAAATCTCATTAAGAAGAAGTGCAGTGCACAAGAATCATTACTCAGCATTTCTTATTTTTTGAGTTATTGCCCTTTGTTAATTTTCATACTTTATTTTGTCCAGGCCATTTCTCCTAAAGTATAAAAGCTATGGACATGAAACTTCATAGGATGATAGATCACATTAAGAAGAATGGAATGCACAAGAACCGGTACTCTGCATTTCTTATTTTTTGAGTTATTGCCCTTTGTTAATTTTCATACTTTATTTTTGTCCAGGCCATTTCTCCTAAAGTATAAAAGCTATGGTCTTTTAACTTCATTAGATGATAGATCTCATTAAGAATAAGTGCAGTGTTTAAGAACCGGTACTCTGCACTTCTTATTTTTGAGTTATTACACTTTATTAATTTTCATACTTTATTTTTGTGCAGGCCATTTCTCATAAATTATAAAAGCTATGGACTTGAAACTTTATAGGATGATAGATCTTATTGATAAGAAGTGCAATGCACAGATTTGCTGCTCTGCACTTCTTATTTTTTGAGTTATTGCCCTTTGTTAATTTTCATATTTCATTTTTGTTCTTGATATTTCTCCTTAACTATATTGTTCACACTTAGGCGACACATCCGACTCGCGGAGTTCTAGTTTATTTTAACATTTCCTTGCCATATAAAATCATAAAACATAAGTTTATTTATCATGTTTTGAGGTGGTGACGGTAGGGCTATAAAAAGATGATTTAAAATTGAAATTAAAAGCGTTTTGATAACTGCGATTTTTTCTATTGGAGTGAGAATTCTCCTTTTCCAATGATTTATTAAATTTTGAATTTTAATTAATTTATCTTCATAGTTTATATGTATCATTTGTTTTAAATGACCAAGGTCACATTTATAGTTTAAAGGTACTCATTCTCTCGAGAAGAGTTTGAAGATACACATTCATGTCAGGACTGTTACTTTGTCATGCATGGAAGGATTTAAAAAAAAACTAATGCACAAATGTCTAACACATCAAGACGATGTGTCGTGGCTAAGTCTAATGTCTCTCTGGCCATCCCCACTTATACAACAATCATGTCCAGACTGTAACTTTATCCTGCATTGAAGGATTTTGAAATAACTGCACAAATGTCTATCACCTGACAATGTTGTGTTGGGTCCAAGAACCACGTCCCTTCTCAAAGGTTAAGGTCACACTTATATTCTTAGAATAAAATGACAAACCAAATGTGAACTCCATTTAAGAATCATGACCTTTTCTAGTAGTAATTATTTGTTTGGGTCGTCAGACCAAACAAATAATGGTAGCGAAATTTCAGAGTCTAATGCTGTTAATTGCAAATGCCGAAAGTAGTCCACTTTTTTGAAGCGGTTACTTCCCTTTATATGTACACTAACACCGAAAAATTCAGGGGAGATCACTGCGTAAAGATGGTCAAAGACAGGCGCATTAATTTTCAAGCAAAATAATTCCCGAATGGTCGAAGATTTCTTATATTGTTGTATTGTATTTTCTGATCGAAAATAAGTAAATACAAAGCGGACATTCAATCTCTGACACAGAAGTTTCACGACAAACCTAACAACAATTAGTTCTCAAAACAGCTTAAAACTAGCGATTTAAAAGAAAGAAATATTTTTATTTTGTTACAAGTATCCAACAAATTACAACGCATTCAAAGTTTAAAAATAGCGTTGGGTTATAGAATTGTCAATAAATGCACAATCACAAATTACGCGGATGAATATGCTTTTATCAATGAAAATACTATTTTTAGCGATGTCGATTACCGAATACTACACAAACCGAGTAGCGGAATATATAGATTCTAGCGATGTCGATTACCGAATACTTCACAAAGAAATCTGACTGCCGAGTAGTGGAATATATAGATTCTACATGTCGGACTGTTTGGGCGAGAAGATTTTCGCTAAATTATTTACTTCAATTTTAAACAACAGGTTTATTGTGAACAAAATACCTCGAAATTAATAAGGATTACAAACCCGAAATGCAATGGAAATTCTAAATTTAGAATGACTTGATTTTATTCAGGCCTTGTTTGTATAACTTCTTCGTGGTGCAGGGGTAACGCGCTCGCTTAGTGAGTGAAAGGTCTGGAGTTCAAATCCCAGTCGATGAAACTTCTTTTTTTTAAAATTCTTTTTTAAGTTTCTTTGTTAAGGAAGTAGCCATGATATGCAAGGATAAAGTGTGGCTGTCATAAAAAATGAACATAAATGATTTTTTGATGCAACTCTAGTTATGCAAAATTCCGTATGTATCAAACTCTGGTGCCTTGCAAGATGAATTATAGTACATAAAAATAAACTTATACAGGAAAATACATACAGATATACAGCACGATTTAGATGGCAAAGATCAGAAAATACCACAGAGCTTGCAGCCCTTTGATTCTTTATAAATATACAAGCTATAAGAATGAAAATAAAACTACATGTTATCATATGTCTTGTTAAAGTCGTAATTACAAGTCCTAATTTAGAATAATATGGTTTTCTTTAGGCCGTTCACATATAAATTCACCGTGGCTGAGGGGTTTTCACGCTCGCTTAGGAAGCAAGAGGTCTGGAGTTCAAATCCCAGTAAAGGCAACTCATTTTTTCAAATTGTTTAAGTCAAATAAACATTGGATTGAATATCAGTGTTGCAATTAGTCTTATAGCCAATTTACTACAATTAAAATGCTTGAAAGCATTGGTGGCACTATACATATATAATCTCACAACCTGTACCTTTCTTACATTCTGAGACCCAAACAAATTCAGCGCCTTCTGTGCTTTGATTTTTTTCATGTGAGCAATCCTCTTGTTTAACAAATATCTTCTGTTTTCCAATGAGACAAAGGATTGCATTGATTTTTATACAAAAACGTCATATAATCATTTACAAGTTTAATTCAAATTTGCCTTTTTTTATACATACATGTACTTATCTTTTTCTTTTTCTCTTTTTTACAAAGATAATTGTGAACAGATTATACACTTTTAACAAGGCAATTAATTGTAATAAATATTTGCTCACAGTGGGGGTATGAATCAACTTTAGTGAGAGCTTAAAAATATTCGGTATTGCTTTCAATGCTTGTCATTAGCCACTGCTTAAATAAACTGTGTGGAAACAGAAATAGAATTGAAAGCAACAGTGAAAAGATTTATGTTATAAATTATCAATATAGTTTATAGAAATTAACAATCAATTAATATAAATTACAATAAGTAAGAGACTGAAATAATAACTGAAACCTAAATAGGGCCTACTTCACAATATTATGAATATGAAATAATAAATTTAATCTACAATTAAAAACAAGTGAATTAAAGTACAAACATTAAATAGCAGAATGAAACAACAATATTTTTGTTAACATTTCAAACACTTATAATGACATGTTTGCTTTTTCTAGTTCAAGTTTTTACCAGTGCATATACTGCCAGCTTTGATGATATATGTTGGTCTGCTGGGCGGAGCTTCTTATGTAAACATATTCTACATCCTGTTGCATGATGATAAATACAACATAGATAGGGAACTTTGTATCAACATTGCAGCCTTATTCATTACGTTCGGTATGTATCTATGTATGTCAGTCACTTTAAGGATAATAGAAGCTTATATGCATTAGTGCTAGTCGCTATATGATTTTTGTGTTGCCTGTACAGAGTAGTGGCGACATTTACTTGTAGGGATCACTTCTCCATTGTCTGTCCATCCATCACAAAACTTGTCCGAACTACTCTACTGGTGCAATTTCATCAAATCTTTACACCAAGTCTAGTGAATATTTTCGGCATTTTCCAGTTCAATGATTTTGTCAGAGTTATGGCCTTTTAATTATTTTTATTTTTAAACATTTTCCAGACTAATCCTCCTACCATTAATGCAATTTCATCCAAACTACAGGAAAAATCTTTAGCTGAAGTATTTGCTCATTTTACACAGGTTTTCTGCTTGAATGATTTTTGGTTGAGATATGGCCATTAAATAAAAAGGTGGTAATAAAGTTTGTCTGGACTTGTAACTCCTCTTACACCACTGATGCAATTTAACTGACACTTTATTGGATTGATTTGCAGCTCAAGTTCTTGCACATGTTACACAGGTTTTCCGCTTGAATTATTTTTGGGTGAGTTATGACTCTTCAATAAACTAGAAATGTGTCCATAGGGCACGGCTGCCCCCACACTCCACTGTTCTGTCAATCTTATGACTCTAGGTAAAATATTTTTTGGACTACATATGCCACAAGTTGAAAACTAAAAATCTTTTACTAAGTAAAGGGTAAGAACTTTACAAATACTGAATAAATCCACAAGCAAACCCCAAGGTGCATATGTACACATGCTGACCAACATTCATGTAAACTTTCAGGCCTACAAGTCAAATACTTTTTGAGCTATGCATGAACAAGTTGAAAATTGCAAATATATTCAACTATAAGTCAAGAGCAATAACTCCACCACTGAAAAAATCCACATGCAAAGTCTTAGGTGCATAGCTTCACAGTGATGTTGATCATATAATATTCCTGTAAAGTTGGTTGATTCTAACTCAAGCACTCAAAGAACAAATAACACAACATAATGAAACAGTTTTTACTAAGTCAAGGGCAATAAATATCTCTACAAATACTGGATAAATCCACAAGCTTAGTCAAGAGCAATAACAATATATATAAACAGAATAAGTCCACAAGCGAAACCCCAGGTGCACAACTTCACATGCTGAGCAACATTCCCTTAAGGTTTCATGACTCTAGGTCAAATTCTTTTTGACTTACATGCCAAACAATTTGAAAATTGCAAATTTTTACTAAGTCAAGGGCAATAACTCTAAAAAAATACTTAATAAATCCACACCAAAATACCCAGGTGCACAACTACACATGCTGTTAAACATTTCTGTAAAGTTTCATGACTCTAGGTCAAATCCTTTCTGAGTTACATGCAACACAAGTTGAAAATTGCAAAGTTTTACTAAGTCAAGGGCAGTTACTCTAAAAATACTAAATAGAGCCACACGAAAATATCCAGATGCACAACTACACATGCTGATTAGCATTCCTGTAAAGTTTCATGATTCTAGGTCAAATACTTTTTGAGTTACATGCGACACAAAAGAGAATGGACGAAGGATGGACTGATGGATGGACGGACAGACAAGGGTAAATCTAAATGCCCCCCCCCCCTAAAGTGGGGGCACAGAAAGGTGTCTCTTTTTGTATTGCCAGCTTCACAGAAGCTTGTTTTGACTACTCCTCAGAAACTACTGTTGCATTTTCATCCAAACTTTACAGGAATGATTAATACCAAATCTAGTTGTGCATATCATCAGCATTTTCCTTTTCAATGTTTTTTTGTCAGAGTCGTGGCCCTTGAATGATTTTTAGCTCTTGAGATTTTGTGAGCATAACTTAAGTTCCATTTGGCCCACAATATTCAAACTTCATAGGATGATTGTCCATATTGGGTAGAAGACCCCAATTGATTTTGGGGTCACAAGGTTAAAGGTCAAGGTCACTATAACCTTAAAACTGAAAACAGTTCCCGGAGCATAACTCAAGTTCCATTTGGCCCACAATAGTCAAACTTCATAGGATGATTGTCCATATTTGGTAGAAGACCCCTATTGATTTAAGGGTAACAAAGTCAAAGGTCAAGGTCACTATTACCTTTAACCTGAAAAAAATTTCCAGAGCATAACTTAAGTTCCATTTTGCCCACAATATTCTTACTTCATAGGATGATTATCCATATTGGGTAGAAGACCTCTATTGATTTTGGGGTCTTAAGGTTAAAGGTTAAGGTCACTATTACCTTAAAACTGAAAACAGTTTCCGCTCAATAACTTAAGTATTAATCAACCTACAGCTGTAAAATTTCATAGGATGAAAAGCCATGTCCAATACATGACCCCTATTGATTTTAGGGTCATAAGGTCAAAGGTTAGGGTCACACTGATATTTACACTGAAAATTGTGATTGTGGAGCATAGCTTATTTAGTTCCATTTGGCCCACAATATTCTAACTTCATAGGATGATTATCCATATTGGGTAGAAGACCTCTATTGATTTTGGGGTCTTAAGGTTAAAGGTTAAGGTCAGTATTACCTTAAAACTGAAAACAGTTTCTGCTCAATAACTTAAGTATTAATCAACCTACAGCTGTAAAATTTCATAGGATGAAAAGCCATGTCCAATACATGACCCCTATTGATTTTAGGGTCATAAGGTCAAAGGTTAGGATCATAATGATCTTTACACTGAAAATTGTGATTGTGGAGCATAGCTTATTTAGTTCCATTTGGCCCACAATATTCTAACTTCATAGGATGATTATCCATATTGGGTAGAAGACCTCTATTGATTTTGGGGTCTTAAGGTTAAAGGTTAAGGTCACTATTACACAGTTTTCGCTCAATAACTTAAGTATTAATCAACCTACATCTGTAAAGTTTTATAGGATGAACGGTCATGTCCAATACATAACCCCTATTGATTTTAGGGTCATTATATCAAAGGTCAGGGTCACAAAGACATTAACACTGTGTTTGTGGTTTCTGGAGCATAACACAAGATCCATATCTATATTGGGATCACATGGTCAAAGGTCATTATCAAATGACCTTAATATTGTTAACAGTTTTACAACTGTCAAACTTCATAGGATGATCACTAATATTGAGTACATTAATTAATTGCCCTAAAAAATTTGCTTATATTATGTTATACCCCTGGCGTCTTTTCCTCCATCCGTAGTAGCATTTTTACTTACAAGATAACATATTGATGGTGGGCAGCTTTGGAAACAGCAACTGTATATATATGAGGCTCAGCTATAAAGGAGGATTGATTTTTGAAGGAGGTAATACTTTGAATTCCCATGTCTTACAAATGCTTCATAACACTTTCGGGCATATAATGCTCTGCCTAGTGGTGCTCTTGTTTTAATTTTTAGCTCACATGTCACAAAGTGACATGGTGAGCTTTTGTGATCACTTTTTGTCCGGCGTCCGGCTGTCCGTCATCCATAAACTTTTACTTTAAACAACATCTCCTCATAAACCGCTGAGCCAATTTCATCCAAACTTAACAGGAATGGTCCTTTGGTGGTCACCCTTAAAAATTGTTCAAAGAATTTAATTCCATGCAGAACTCTGGTTGCCATGGCAACCAAAAGAAAAAACTTAAAATATCTTCTTTCAAAAAACCCAAAGAGATAGAGCTTAGATATTTGGCATGAAACATCTTCTAGTGAGTGTCTATCAAGTTTGTTCAAATAAAAGCCATGGGGTCAAAATTGGCCCTGCCCCAGGGGGTCATTGCTTTTCCTTATTGTATATAGTAAAAACTTAAAAAATATTTTTTTAAAAAACCGAAAGAGTTAGAGCTTAGATATTAAGCATGAAACATCTTCTGGTGAGAGTCTACTAAGTTTGTTCAAATAAAAGCCCTAGGATCAAAATTAACCCTGCACCGGGGATACTGATTTTCCTTATTTTTCTTATATGTCTATAGTAAAAACTTAAAAAATCTTTTATTAAATAACCCATAGAGCTAGAGCTTAGATATTAAGCATGAAACATCTTCTAATGAGTGTCTACCAAATTTGTTCAAATAAAAGCCCCAGGGTTGAATTTACCACGCTTGGGGTCTGATTTCCTTATATGTCTATAGTAAAAACTTTTAAAAATCCCAAAGAGCTTGAGCTTAGATATTTATCATGAAACATCTTCTAATGGGTGTCTACCAAGTTGGTTGAAAAAAAAGCCCCTGGGTTAAAATTAGCCCTGCCCCAAGGGCCTATATACAGGTGAGCAATTTCAGGGCCATCATGGCCCGCTTGTTTTTTATAATGTAACAGTTTTATTAATTTTGATGTAGCTTTGATACAATCAGTTTAAATTTTACTAAAGTTAAAGGTACATGTACATTGCAAGAGCAGTGTTTATAAATAACCTATATTTCAGAAGAAAATACCTAATAGACAGCTATGCTGTTGAAAAGCGACACATCTGACCTGCAGAGTTCTAGTTTTTAATGATAATGATGCATTTTAATGTTAATCCTGCAGTTTTCACTAAACTTTATGTGATTAACTTGCAATTTGTTGGCGTTATGTATTTCACACAATGTTAATGTGTGATGTCATATATCTGTTAAGCGGCCATATTGTTTAGTGTGTGTTTGTGTGCGTTAAAATGGCTGATTACAACGATTTTCAATAAAATTGTGCATTTTGAAAGAACAATGCTAAGGTTACAGGCAAATGGTGAGCAGGCAATTAAGAAAACGACAATGAAGAAGTGGTATGCTGAATTTCGAGACGGCCAGCAAAGCATCCATGACGAAAAGCTCTGTGGACGTACCAAGATTGTAACCTCAAATCACGTCACTGTGACTGAGGAGCTGCTCGACAATGATCGTCACATTAAAATTTGTGAAAAAAACAAACCATCAGATTGTAATATTGGCACAATACACCGCATTATACACGAAGGACTGAATATGAGACGCATGTGTGCCAGGTGGGTTCCAAAAATGCTGACGGATGAAAAAAAAATTGGAAAGAGTTCAGTGTTGCCAACATTTTCTCAGAGGAATTCAAAGGGGTTTCTTGCGATGGATAGTAACTTTTGATGTGACATGGTCAGTCTATACGTACCTGAAACAAACTGACAGTCTTCTTTGTGGAAAACCCCGGGATTGCCTTCACCTAAGAAGTTTAAAGTTGGCCCATCTGCAAAGAAAAAGATGTTCATCATCTTCTTTGACGTCGATGGCGTGATACTGAGCCATGCTGTATCCGTTGGTCAGATGGTGATGGCAAAGTATTATTTTAAGGTGAATAAATTTATCAGATCTATAATATAATACTCATTCTAAAGTCAATACATTACCTAATAATTATTAATATTTGTGTAAGTAATTATGAAAATAAATCATTATAACAATTTACTTATGATTGCATTTATCAGTATATATGCTGAGACGCAATTTCATGAGGGCGATGAGAAAGTAGCGGGGAACGAAAATCGTCGACATGATATTCCATCACGACAACGTACCCTGTGTGGAGAAAACATGGGACATACTTCGAAGTACTCGATCACCCAGCCTACAATCAAACCTCACCGCTGTTACCGACACTGAAGTAAGTTCTGTGGGTGAAAACTTCAATGACATGGACGAGCTGTCTAACGGTTGCAAGGTGCAATTTCTGAGATAAATGGCTTCTCCTACTTTAAGAGTTTCCTGTCATGGGTCTACCATTGTAAAAGGTGTGTTTCCTTTCACAGGGAATATATCGAGGAAGACTAGGTGCGTGTTTTGGGTGACACTTGCACATGCATTAAACATGACATTGTTAATAATGGCGTTTGGCCGGTTCAACTGGAATTACCATAGAAAAACATGTAATTTTCTAATTAAGTTTTACTCGATTTTATTGAAATTTTGTGTATATGTTAACTCTATGTTTATTTACAATGTGAATTTCGTATGAGTATTGAAAATATGACAGCTTTTTTCTGCGTATTTATTGAACACCCCTGCTAAAACACAAAAATTCTTCAATTATTATACTATAGAAACTTTAGATTAGATATTTGGTATGAAAAACTTTGTCTGGTGGACCTCTACCAAAAAATTCAAATTACAGCACTTATATGTTTATGGTAAAAAGTTTTAAAAAGATTTCTTCTCTTAACTACAAGAGCTAAAGCTTACCGGGTAGTTATTAAACATTATCTAGTAGACTTCTACTAAGTTTGTTCAAATTATAGCCCTTAGGGGAAAATTGGCCCCGCCCTAAGCTTTTCTTTATGCAGTAAATACTTAAAAAATCTTCTTCTTGAAAACTGCAAGGGCTATAATATACCTTAGTAAACACCTGAATGAATTTCTGTGTATATTGTAATGCATCTGGTTGTCAGTCCATTTATCTGTTAGCAGGTTTTTGTGTCCGGTCTTTTGAACTGGTGGGAGGAAATTGAAACTTCTTGGCAGAAATTTTAACCATGAGACGATGTGCAGAGTGCAGGTTTGACCATTCTCAGGTTCAGGTCAATTTTAAGCTTAGTCATTTTGTTTCGATGTCCAACTTTAGTGGCCGCTATGTATCATGTGAACCGCTTGAAAGAAACTAAAACTTTTTGGCAGAAATATTCCTTAAATTGAGATGGTGTGCAAAACACAAGTTCGGACTTCCTAAGATCAAAATTGGCCCCGTTGATTTATAATAGACTTATATAGGAATTTTCGTGTCAGGTCAGTGTTGTTATATTTTTCTTGTCCATTGGGATCATTGATGCCAGCACTATTTAGTGTTGAGAATTGAGTACCGCTCAAGCCAGTGCTAGGGGGCGTGAGGGATGTTGCACTTATTCAGTATCCCTCATGTACGGACTCAATCAAACCGAGTCTGCAATTCTTATGCAATTTTGTTGTGATTAATGCTTCCGAGGGATCACTTTGTTTCCAGAACAGGTGAATAGAAATTGAAACTTCTTGGCAAAAATGGTAACCATAATTAGGCAATGTGCAGAGCACAGGTTTGACCTCCCTCAGGTCAAGGTCAAACTTAGTTATTTAGTATCAATTTCAGCTCTGTTTCTAGACTACCTCAGGTCAAGGTCACACTGACTCATTCAAAGTCCTTATATTAGTGTGTATATTACAAAGGGAGATAACAATGTATGAATTTATCAATATGTTTCCTCCCAATATATATTATATATATTTACCTCCCTTTTATTCCCAAAATCTGATATTTATTGCTCATTTGTGTTGACTATTTTTTTTGTCCATGGACCCGATTTTTTTCAATTAATCCCATCGATTTACAGCTAAAAATAAATTCAGATGCAAGAATTCCTTTTGATTTCTATTATGTAAAGTCATATATTGGTTTCCTTTTCGGTGATTCGCAGTCATTATGTCATATTAATGGATGAGAACGGGAACAAATTTCATATATAAAAGCAGTATAAAAGACAAAATAAAAAAATATTCTTTAAATTTGGTAATTTATTTCTTACATTTGTATCTTCTACAGGAAATTACTAACTGTACACAGTGGGTTATGTATATATTTATTGCTGTACATGATAGCTATAAATAGATATGACCTTCACATTGTGAAATGCCGAAAATTTATTTTACAGTCATTTGTTTCGCACTATGGCAATAACGAACTGGAGAGTTTTGCAGGAAATGAAATGCAAACATATTCAACCATAAATTGCACTCTTCATAAAGCTTTTATATCTTTGACTCGCATGAACATGATGTTAGTAAATTTTGTTATGTTTGTCTGAAATTATAGTAACAGTCTTCAATTGATAAATAATGTTTCACTATATTAACATGCCATGCAAATTTATTCATGATTTTTAATGTTGTCAAGCGTAAAACAAAAAATCCTGAATTTCGTTTTTTTTTTAAATTCATCACACTTTTTCATTCCAGTGTGTGTACTTCTTCCAGTATTTATCTGGGACTTAGAATATTGGTATTGTATCTTAACTCCCAGGTATTAAAAGAAAAAAATTACTTAATTTGACATGAAAAAATGCATGTAATACTATATTAGTCCCTTTTATTGCTATTTTTATATTCTGTTTGTATATTTGTTACAATCATGATAATAAAAAAACAGACTGTTAATTTTGACTCATGTTTTGTATGTTCCAAAGAAAATGCATTTAATATTCTTATCTCTACCAAAGTTCATGATGAACAATGTCTTCCGTCCGCCCATTCATCTATGATATACATGTACAATTCTGGTGAAATCCAATTAACCATTGAAAAGTTTATAAGAATATCTGGTCATCAGATGCCTACTAGGTCATCTCGCTGCATTTCTTGCTTGGATGCCCTTTGATAATGTACACTAGTACTTTATAATCTAAATAGAAAATGACCTGTGCCCAGGATTGATTTGGTAATAGGTATCTGTAATGAACGCATTCTTTAGCGCAGAGCTTCTCAATTGCTGCATTGCAGCAACATTAAAAATTTTGTACTTGTAATGTTTGTTGTTTTTTTGTTTTGTTTTTAATAATCAAACTTTAAATTTTTAGATTTTTTTCCTGTTAAGATTATAATAATTGAGCAGCTTTTATAGGTTTATATGATTTTATTAATTTAAACTGGTGTTACTTAAGATATGTAAATTCACCATAAGTTGTAAATGAGGCATATGAAATGTCAATTTTTTAAAGGAAATTTATAAAAACTTTTGAGTACCATACCAGTAGTTGTTAGTTTACATTGCTACATCTGCTTTGAGCTCACCAAAACCGAAGGTTCAGGGTGAGCTATTAGTATCAAAGGGGATGCTCTGGCATCTTGTGTCTTCTCTGAAACTGCTGGGCAGATTTACCTTAAATTTGGTCTGTAGCTGTTAAGCATCCTTGTAACAGTCACAGTTAAATTTGCTCATGTCATTTCAATTGGCCCCTTCTAGGGGTCAACAGAGCTTAAATAGAAAAAAATATTTAAACATCTATTAAATTAAATGATGGATGATCACCAAACTCTGTCTGTAGCATTCTTAGGTAGTCTTTTTATCAAATTTGCTTATATTTATTTGATTGGCCCCTTTTAGGGGCCACTTAAAAGCAAAAAAAAAGAATAAACTTTAATCATCTTCTATACTGAACTAATTGATGGATGGTCACCAAACATTGTAGCTTTCTTATGTAGTGTAAGGATCTGACATTCTAGCATTATTCTGAAATGTACTTACAACAGAACTTATAATGAAATCCAAGTGACATTGTGAAATCCTATAGCTTCATCTATTGTTGACTTCTACAAGATAAAGATTCACTTACCTGATTGATCTGAAGGAACACTGTATTAACACTTATTGACTTTGCAATTTAAGCTGATAGAAATGTTAAACTTACCTTATTGTATAGCAGAAAACTGATTTTCTCTTTACATTTTCTGTGTAGCAGACGTCCAATGACAGACATCTTTGAAATCTGTCACTTCATATTTTATATTGAAGATTTCTTATTGTTAATATCAATTTCAGTCAAATTCAATTCAAGAACCTAATTTATGTAAAGTTTATGGTTGATTAAGGTAAGAAATCCTTAAGTATTCACTACATGTTTTTGTATATTAATGATTTTCGTATGTAGATTTTATATGCGATTTCAATATGGCTGCCATTGAAATCCAAGATTTCAGATTCAGAAATCCGGCTGTCTGTCCATTGGAGGATTTCCGGATTTCTGTTGTTTCATTGGTGGATTTCCACTTAGGCTAAAAATAGAAAAACCTTTAAAAAAATTTGTACTGAACTAATTGATGGATAATCAAGAAACTTTGTCTGTAGCATTCTTGGGAAGCCTTTTATCAAGTTTGCTCATATTAATTTGATTGGCCCCTTTTAGGGGCAGCTAAAGCTAAAAATAGAAAAACCTTTAAATGTCTCCTTCTACTGAACTACATGTAATTGATGGATGATCACCAAACTTTGCCTGTAGCAGTTAGATGGTCTGTTGTCAAATTTGTTCAAATTAATTTGATTGGCCCTTTTAGGGGCCTCTAGAGCTAAATCTTAAAACAATTTCTGTACTGAACTAATTGATGGATGATCACCAAACTTTGCCTGTAGCAGTTAGATGGTCTGTTGTCAAATTTGTTCAAATTAATTTAATTGGCCCCAAGGGCCAAAATTTGAAGAAAAAAAACTTTTCACATCTTCTTTTACTGAATTAATTGATATTTGATAATCACCAAACTTTGTCTAGCATCATCTTCTACTGAATTAATTTGTGGTAAAGTTCAGGATCTGTTCAAATGATTATGCTGCATTAATGTAAATATTATCACATATTTTCTAATTATGCCCCCACTTCAAAGAAGAGTATTGCTTTGCATTTGTCGGTCCGTCGGTCTGTCGGTCCGTAGACCAAATGGTTTCCGAGTGATAACTAAAGAACGCTTAGGCCTAGGAACTTCAAACTTGGTATGGTGATTGATCATGACCAGTAGATGACCCCTATTGATTTTGGGGTCAAGGGGTCAAAGGTCACATTGACCTTGTAGGTAAAAACGGTTTCCGATCAATAACTAAAGAACGCTTAGGCCTAGGAACTTCAAACTTGGTATGGTGATTGGTCATGACCAGTAGATGACCCCTATTGATTTTGGGGTCAAAGGTCAAGGTCACATTGACCTTGTAGGTAAAAACGGTTTCCAATCAATAACTAAAGAACGCTTAGGCCTAGGAACTTCAAACTTGGTATGGTGATTGGTCATGACCAGTAGATGACCCCTATTGATTTTGGGGTCAAAGGTCAAGGTCACATTGACCTTGTAGGTAAAAACGGTTTCCGATCAATAACTAAAGAACGCTTAGGCCTAGGAACTTCAAACTTGGTATGGTGATTAGTCATGACCAGTAGATGACCCCTTTTGATTTTGGGGTCAAAGGTCAAGGTCACATTGACCTTGAAGGTAAAAACGGTTTCTGATCAATAACTAAAGAACGCTTAGGCCTAGGAACTTCAAACTTGGTATGGTGATTGGTCATGACCAGTAGATGACCCCTATTGATTTTGAGGTCAAGGGGTCAAAGGTCACATTGACCGTGTAGGTAAAAACAGTTTCCAATCAATAACTAAAGAACGCTTAGGCCTAGGAACTTCAAACTTGGTTACTGGTGATTGGTCATGACCAGTAGATGACCCCTATTGATTTTGGGGTGAAGGGGTCAAAGGTCAAGGTCACATTGACCTTGTAGGTAAAAATGGTTTCCGATCAATAACTAAAGAACGCTTAGGACTAGGAACTTCAAACTTGGTATGGTGATTGGTCATGACCAGTAGATGACCCTATCTGTTTTGGGGTCAAAGGTCAAGGTCACATTGACCTTGTAAGTAAAAACGGTTTCCGATCAAAAACTAAAGAACGCTTAGGCCTAGGAACTTCAAACTTGGTATGGTGATTGGTCATGACCAGTAGATGACCCCTATTGATTTTGGGGTAAAAGGTCAAGGTCACATTGACCTTGTAGGTAAAAATGGTTTCCGATCAATAACTTAAGAACACTTAGGCCTAGGAACTTCAAACTTTATATGATGATTGGTCATGACCAGTAGATGACTCTTATTGATTTTGGGGTCAAGGGGTCAATGTCAAATTGACCTTGTACTTTAAGATGGTTTGTTACCAATAACTCAACCAGTCAAGTTGCCTTGGTTGATGTTTTTATATTAAACTAAAAATGCTTTTGGTATACACATTTGAAGGTCTTATGTAATATAACAACTTGGCTGTCATTAATGAGGCCTACATGATTCATAAAATTCATGCATATTTTATTTGGTAAGATTTGTAATAACTTAAATTGCTGCACACAACCTATGGGGTCACAATAATTATTACCTTGTGACTAGTCATGACCAGTAGATAACCCTTATTAATTTTTTGTTCACTGGGTCAGAAGTCATGCATAATAACCTGATCACATGACTAATTGGCTGCCATAGGGGGCATACATGTTTTACAAACATATCTTGTTTAAAGTTATGTTATTGTTGATTTATTTTAATCAAAATAACTATTATATATATCTAATCATGATAAAGGGAGAAAATCTTGATAAGTCTTTAAGGTTCTCTTGACAACTAGGAAAGGGGCATCACTCTTGTTCAGCTAAATAAGGATATATTGTTTTCAGCATTTTAACAAGTATTCTAATAATCTAATGAGGATTTTCTTTGTGTTTTTTTATTCACAGTATAAATAATATGTATCTTGAATAATATTGCATTTCATTTGTGTCCGGACTGTAACTTTGTCATGCATCATAGGATTTCAAAATAACTTGGCATAAATGTCTACCACATCAAAACAATGTGTCACGTCAAGTTCACACTACTATTTTGAAGTTCACTTTATCACAATAAGAGTTAAAAGGTACACACAATCTTGTCCGGACTGTAACTTTGTCATGCATCAAAGGATTTTACTATTACTTGGGATGTAATGTGAATGTCTTCCACATCAAGACGATGGGTCACGTCCAGGAATCACATCCCTACCTCAAAGGTCAAGGTTACATTAACATTTTGAAGTTTCACTTTATCACAATAACAGTTTATAGGTACTCAAATTTGTGTCCGGACTGTAACTTTGTCATGCATCAAAGGATTTTAGAATAACTTGGCATAAATGTGTACCACAACAAGACGATGTGTCGCGTCAAAGAATCACGTACCTACCTCAAAGGTCAAGGTCACATTTTTTAACATTTTGAAGTTTCACTTT